TAAAGGGGGGGGGGGGCAGGCGGAGCCAAGATGGTGGAGGGAAAGCAGTGACTTGCTAGAGCTCTCTCCCAAACCCCTCCAAATACCTACAAAAAATGGCTCAAGTATCTTACACATCACTCCTCTCCATGCATTCAATAATCCAAAATATCCTTGGTCTACTTGTTTTTCCTCACACAGAATGCTCCTCCATCACCTGTCTCCACGTCTTTGCATTGGTTTTTCCCATGTCTGAAAAGTTCTCTCTGCTTACCTCCACCTCTTAGAATCCCTGGGCTTTCTTTAAAACTCAGCTTAAATACCTGTTGTGGGAGGCTTTCCTCTTCCATCTACTCCTTTCTAAGTTATTTTATATACATTCATTAATGTTGTTGTAGCAGAGACTTCTACTGTTTTTGCTTTTTTGGACGTCCAGCACTTAATTAGCAGTATCAGCACAAAGTTTATACTGAATAAGTACTTATTGATTAATTGAAAGGTGAAGTGACTTTCCCACATTTAAAATGTTAAGGAGAACAAAATAGAAATACTTCAGGCAGGACCTCATTCCAGGCTGGTACTGATCCACTGGGATCTGGTCATTCAGCCAGTTCTGAATCCCCCTAATTATACTAACATCTAGCTCAGATCCCTCCATTTTGCCCCAAAATTATGTTATCAGAATTTGTCAAATGACTTGCTCAAAATTTCCTTTTAGCCTCTATATCACTAAAAGCCTTTGTTGCTGTTGATATCCATAGCATTCATTGCTGGCCTCTGCCCATCCTAAGCATCAGCATTCTTTACACTAGTTCTTACAAGATTACACCATTCTTGGATTTGTCATCAGTTACCTGCCCTTAAGTGCATAAGAAATATGAAGTGTTATGAGAACAGATAAGAACAGGGATCATTTATAATAAACAACGATCAGGAAATGCTTTAGTGCAGAGTTGGACTGCAGCCCTGGACATGAGATTAGCAGTCAGTCAACATGCATTTATTAAGGGTTTTCTATATGTCAGATAAGACGAAAATATGAATCCTATCTTCAAGAGGCTCATAATCTAATTAGGGAGACAAAAAGCTGGTAATTATGTACATGCAAGATATACGTATAGTGTGTGTGTGTGTGTATACACACACACATACACATTATAGCAAATGCAAGGTAATCTCAGAGGAAAGAGCTTGGGGGGAGGTAGGAAGGGGTGAGGGGACGAAGAAAGGTGGGATGTGAACTGAGTCTTGAAGAAGGCTAGGGAAGCCAGGAAGCAGAAGAAATTGAGGGAGAGCATGGCCAGTATCGGGGAGAACTAGTGTTCAAGCAGCAGCAAACACGAGAGTAAAATTTAAGACGACTGGAAAGATAGAAAAAGGCTAGGTTTTGAAGGGCTTTAAATATAACCAGAACATTTTTTATTTTATCCTGGAGGCAACAGGGAGCCAAAAGAGTTTATTGAGCAGGGGGTGTGTTGTAGTAAGACCTATGCTTTAGGAAAATAACTTTGGCAACTGAGTGGAGAATGTTTTGTAGTGAGGAGAAACCTGAGGTAAGGTGAAGAACCATAAAGTTATTGCAATAGTCCAAGCAGGAGGTGATGAGGGCCAGCACTAAGGTGGTGGCTGTGTTGGTAGAGAATGGGATGTGGGAAAGAGATGTTGTGAAAGTAGAAACTCTAAGACTTTACAATAGATTGGCTATTTGAAAGTGAGAGTGAGGCGTCAAGGATGATACTGAGATTTTGAACCTGGCAGAGCGGTGTGCCATTGATAGCAACAGGTAAGTTGGGAAAAGGGGAGGGTCTGAAGGGAAAGATAAGTTCTGTTTTTGGACATACTAAGTTTGAAATGACAATGAGATATGCAGTTGAGAAAACCTGAAGGCAGCTGGTAATGAAAGACTAGGGCTATAGAGATATGAGAATCAACTGCATAAGATAACTGAACCCAGGGGCAGCTAGGTGGCACAGTGGATAAAGCACCGGCCCTGAAGTCAGGAGGACCTAAGTCCAAAACTGACCTCAGACCAAACACTTGACACTTACTAGCTGTGTGACCCTGGGCAAGTCACTTATCCCCAACTGCCTAAAAAAAAAAAAAAGATAACTGAACCCAAGCGAGTTGATGAGATCATGAAGTGTGATTGTAGAGGGTGAAGAGGGCCCAGGACAGAGCCTTGGAAGACACCTATGATTAGTGAACATAAGATAGATGAAAACCCCGTAGATTAGAAAAGAATGGAAACCTAAAGAGTAGAAAGTATTCATCAGAAAATGACCAATAGTGTTAAATCTTACTGATAGGCCAAGATTGAAGGATTAGGACTGGAAAACAGTCATTAGCCTTGGCAATTAAGTAACTTTGGAAAGCTGTTTTAGCTAAATAATGAGGATGGAAGCCAGATTGTAGAGGACTTTGAATAAGGTGAAAGGAGAGGAAGTGCTCCAACCCAGTGTAGACAGCTTTCTTATTAAGTTTAGCTAAGAAGGGAAAGTGAAATATGGAATGGTAGGTACTAGGAGGCATGGCTGGATCAAGTGAGGAGTTTTTTTAAGGATGCGGAAGACATAGGCTTGTTTTTAGGCGCACAGAAGGAGCCAGTTGATAAAAAAGACATTGAAAATTAGAGAAGAAGGGACCTTACAGATTATCTGAACTAGTGGGGCAAAGTCTTTAGAGTCCAAGTGTCTGGATTGAATTTTTCCTTTGGCCCCTTTTAATACTTGTTTTTAGATAAACCATGTCATCTCTCTGGGGCTGTTTTCTCATCTGTAAGAGGAGAGGGTTGGAGTAGATGATAGTTAAGGTCCCTTTACTTCAAGAAATATTTTTTAAATTAAATTTTTTTTTCCAAACAATCTGCTTTCTCTCCCATGCACATTCTCCCATCCTGTCCTTCCCAAATTAGAATCAAAACAAACTCCCAAATCACCCACGTCCAAAAAAACTCTAAGTCTCTATCTCTGTGTCCACTGCCAAACATCCTCCTTAAGAGGTTTGGGGTAGAGGTCTGGGGTGCTGAGACCCCAAGAATGGTAAGGCCCTAGGGTCACCTGGAATAAAGTCACACACTCAAGCCATCTTTCAGTAGAGACAGTTTATTGCAATGCCAACAGGCCAGGTAAAGTTTCTTTTGGGGGAACTTGCACCCTAATGGGGGTGAATCTAGAGCTTATATAGAAAAGGGACATGGGAAAGGAATGCCAAGGATGCTAATCAGCTAATCTAAGGGTCCAGGTGTCTTTGGGAGCCATGGATGAGGAAGTTTAGGAGTATATCAGACATTGAAAGACCTGGCAAAGGCATGGACCTTGGGGATCTGGTGGGAGGAAGAGTCCTCAGGCCAGTCAGGGACAAAAATCTTTGGGCCAGGCATCCCTGTGTCTGCTCCAATAATGGAATATGTCCTGCAACAAGAGAAAATTTTCCCACAGGACAGAGGCCTACGGAAAATTGGAAGGCTTCCAGAGGCATGATCTTCGGGCTTTTTGGGGTCCAGGTCCCAACACACCATCATTCCCACTTTCAAATCTGGCAGTTATCACCTTTGATCCTGGGCAAGTCACCAAACCTGAGTGCCCCAGGCAACTAATCATTTAAATAACAAAACTGATGCCAAACTCCATTGGTTGGTGGAGGAAGTTTCCAATAGTGATGAAATTCCAGGCCCAGATGCACCTCACACAAAAGCGTGCAGCTGTAAATCAGACTCTTCACCTGGCCCTTGCTCATCTCCAACACATTCCCCAATGTTGGGGATCCCTCCCTCCAAAATTACTTTGCCTAATTTTCTTTTTACTTTATTGCGGCATATATTGGTTGTATCCACCCCAAGTTTCTTAAGGGAAAGGAATATTTCTTTTTTTTTTTCAATCTCCATCGCCCATCATAAGGTCTTCGCAGACGTATATTAAATTAAGTCATCAAACCGAGTCAACAAGCATATATTAAGCACCTACTACATACCAATAAGGGGCAGCTAGGTGGCACAGTGGACAGACAGCCAGGCCTGGAGTCAGAAAGACCTGAGTTCAAACCGGCCTCAACCACTTACTGTGCGGCCCTGGAGAAATCACTTAACCCTGTTTGCTTCAGTTTCCCCATCTGCAAAATGTGCAATAGCAGTATCCCTGCCAAGAAAACCCCAAAAATGGGGTCACGAAGAATCAGATTGGACTGAACAAACATGCCAAGTAAACTGCACCAGACACTGGGCATACAAAGGTAAAAAAGAAAAAAAAGTAATCTCCTTGAGATGAAGAACTTAATAAGCTCATTTACAATAAAAATCCACGCCAGTGCCTCACTCTGTAGCGGCTCTCACTGCAATTAATTAATTCACCTGTAACCACCCATTCCATCCACTTCCTGGATTAATTTAATTATTTAATTTCCTAGGAGGGCGTCCTTTTCTCAAGGCTTCCAAGCGCGCGCATGCCCAGACCTTCCCTCCCGCCTTAAGTAGAGAGATCCTTTGGCGGTTCCAGTCCTCAAACAGGTCACGCTCCCTGGCTCAGAATGAGTCTCTAAAACTGCAAATATGCAGACCTTCCCTAATGCCTCTCCCAGCGATAACGTAACCGCTCCCGCTTGCCTCCTTTATACGGAAAGGGGACGCCGCGTAATGGCGTCACGGACGGCGTGCGGCGACGTGCCGACGCCGGCAGCGTGCGGCGGCCTGCGGCGGCCACATCCTTCTGGAGCGGGACTGGGGGCGCCCGTTTTGAAGCTGCCCTGGGCAGGCTTTCTGTTCGCTTCCGCTCTCGTCGGAGCCTCCTGGTCCTACCTCGCCGGGCCCCTGGGGAAGCCGAGCAGCCAATGCGCTCAGCCCCGCGCCCGGCTCCGTTCCCCCGCAGCTGCCCCCGAGGTGGTTGGACGCTGCTGCCTCCTCGGGAGGCCCCGGGGCCGCCCGTGCCCTCGTCCGCTCGGCCTGCGGGGCCGCCCCGCCCTCCTCCGTTTGACCTCGTGTTCCCCCCCCCCCCCGAAATCACCCCCTACTCCCAGGCCGGCGCCCAGGCGGTGCGTGTGAGGAGGAGGGGAAGGGGCAGGGGTCGTGGCTGTGAACAGCCTTTAGTTTAGACAGGCCGGCCTCCGTCCTCGGAGCCGGAAAAAGCGGGTGCAGGTGGTAGCAGTGCTGGTGGTGGAGAAAGAGGAGGAAGGGGGACCAGGGGAAAGGAAAGAAAAAACAACAATAAGAGCAAGTAAAAGACAAACAAAAATGCCAACTGGCAAAGTTCTGCAGCCAGTGCTAAAGATGAAAGTGGACGAGTTGTTCCTGTGCTGGTTGAGTGAGACCAACACGCAAGTGATGCTCAAGGACTGCTTGAAAAGAATCAAGAATACTGAGAGGATAGACATTGGTAGTGGAAGTACCGGGGACAGTGAGCCTTTCTTGACCACTAAAATCGCAAACTCCAAGCAAAACATATTAGATAATCTGATGGCTCCCCTGGTGACACCTTCCAGTCTTTCTTGTGCGTCCACTGCACTGCCCCTGGGTACTTCAACTAGTTCCAGAAGTGGGCCACATGTTCGGGGCACTCGTAGATCTACAGGGACAAGAGTAGTAAGTTTTTCTTCTTAAAACATTTCCTAAATGACAAAATGCAGAGGCTCATTCATTTATTTGGTTTGCAGATTTGATGTGTGACTTTGAATCCGTGATTTCCATTGGTTGAGGTTGCGGGAGTTAAGTCTGACGTAAACAAGAAAAATGGAATTGGAAATTTGTTTTCAAGCAAGAGTCTAAATTTCTGAGAGGCGATTTGAGTGGATTTTGTTACTGATAACATTCATAGCCCGATTATTCTTAATTGGGAGTTTTAATATGCATGGAATTGCTCTCTATCATTCATTCATTTCTCAAGTTAGGTGTTAATTGTTTTCATGAGAATAAACTACTGTGTATATAGTTCGGCCGAAGAAGGTAGAGATTTTCCTTACCTTGACAGAATGTTGAACATACAGTAACTAAATTTTCTGAGTATTTTGTTAGTTTTATACTCTTATTTTGTAAATAGTATGGTCTCTACTGTTTTGTAATATGTATAGAAATAATTTGTCGTTTTCGAGTTATCTAAACAGTGCTCTATTTTTTGAATGTTTTCTTTAAACGTCAAAGAAAATGTATGATTTAATACGAAAGCACTGTTTCTACGGTATTTCTAAAGCTGCAAAATTAAGTTACAGCCTACAATTGAGCATTATGTTTCATTATCATAGTTTTATAATGTGGCGTTGAGTTACCATAAGTAGTGGAATTAGACGCTGAGTAAAAAAAAAAGTCTCCTCAGCAGAAGTATTCCTGACAATAAAGAAATGGATAGTTTTACCCATTCTTCAAAGAAAAGTTGTCAGTCATTGGTTACCATTAAATTCAGCAGATTTTCATGTAGGTATCCAGTCCAACCAGCATCCAACTACACACAAGGTTAGGAAGGGAGAACACAAAGACAAAAAGATACTGGAAAAAATAATTTTGAAGGAATATCAGAAAAAAAAATATGGAATCATAGAATTTGAGAGATGGAAGATTTCTTCTATCTCTAATCCAACCATCTTATTTTACTGATAAGGAAACCAAGCTCTAGAGAGGCAGTTACCTGCCTGAGAAAACTCATTTGGGATGAGAGCCCAGAAATAGTTTCTTTAATAGTGGCAGATTTTCCCCAGGTAATAGAATATGTTTCACCATTTGAATTCTAATCCTCATGTGTTTCCACTTACCTCAGTTGTGTCAAGAATTTTGAAAACGAAATTTATTTTAATCTTTAATTAAAAAAATAAACGTGCTTTATAGCACAAGTACAGAAGGGAAAGCCATATCACACAGTGATAGTACGTCTTAAAGTGGTTGGACATCATTGTCCTCTACTAATTATAATTCATATTTGTATAATACTGAAAGGTTTGGGGCAGCTAGGTGGCGCAGTGGATAGAGCACTGGCCCTGAAGTCAGGAGGACCAGAGTTCAAATTCGGAGTCAGACCAAACACTTGACACTTACTGGCTGTGTGACCCTGGGCAAGTCACTTAACCCAAATTGCCTAAAAATTAAAAAAAAAAAATACTTCAAGGTTTGCAAAGCACTTTCTTCCCAATCACTCGGTTTAATAGATAGTGCAAATATTCCTATTTTACAGATGAAAACACAGAGAATTTAAATGACTTGCCCACAGTTACACAATAAGTGGCAGAGCCAGGCTCAGACTTAAGTGTTGTGAGTTAGAGTCCAATGTTGTTTTCACTACACAGTTCCATCTTTGATAGAAGTAGTGTTTTAAATTCATCTGATAGTGGTTTGCAGGATGGAAGAAAGAGAAAAAGAACATTTAAAAACGAATTTATTTCAGATGGAAGATAACTAATGACTAAACTAGTAGCTGCTATGAGAAAAAAAGGTAAGAAAGGTAGAGAAGTTCAGAAAAAAGTCAATAGTAGCTGATATGGTGTGGTATGTTAGGGAAAAATCAAAGAATGCTAATTGAATTTTGAGTCTGGGTAACTGGGGAAATGATGGTGACATTAATACAAATAGTGGTAACTAGTTTTGGGGGAGAAGAAATCAGAAAATCATATATCTAGAAAGAAGGAACCTCAGAGACCATCTAGCTAAGCCCCACATTTTACAAATTAGGAAACTGAGACCCAGAGGGGTTGTGACCTACCTTCCAGTGATTGCATAAGCTTTAAACAGCTCCAGATTCTTGTCAGAAAGAGATGTAAAAACTTTAACTTCAAGAATATTGTAGTAAGAAATTATTGTCAGTAAACAATATATTTTGTAAACTCTTTTCAAACAAAGTTCTAGAAAGTGCATGAAGATAAGCTTTAAGAAGAATTTACAGTCTTGGAGTTGGAGGTGGGTTGGAAAATGCAAAGAAAGAGAGAATGTTTCAGATAAACTCTAATATAGTAAACATCTCTCCCACTTCCATGTATATCCTTTGGTAAATGGGAAATATAGCCAGTGTGAATAATGAATTCCCTAAAGAGGTTGCATGGTCAAACTTACAATTATGTAAAATGTGGTGATTTGTTCCATCCCAATGGAAATAGGCAGTACAAATTCAAATAATACAACACTAAAGGAGAATTCGTAATTAGTACCAATTACAACATAGCTGTATTTATACACAAACGTAAGATTTTATGTAAATAAAGCAGCCATATGGCAAAGTCAATTTTATCTCAGCTTATTTTCCTTCTCCCGTATAGAGCACTTCCATTCCAAGCAGCCTTACCCTATGTAATAATATGGAGAAAGCCAGTGTGCTGAAAAAATACATCACATTCTGTTTCAAAACAAAATACAGATAGCAGGTTTTGGTTATCTGTATTCAGTTTTCTTCCCATTCACACAATAGAGAAAGATTATAGTTTCAAGTAGGGGTTATTGCTGTATTCCTTAAGCTTTCCTTCTATAAGATCTCAATGCTTTTTACTTTTTCTTTTTTTACTTGACCTGTGAAATCAGGTGCTTGATAATTGTTCATTGATTGATGGATTCATCGGTATAGGTGACTGATAATGAAGAACTTCAATGTCTTCCCTGCAACTTACAGGCTTGTGGTAGGGGTTCTTAACTTTAAGTGTCATTGACTCCTTTGGGAGTCTGGTGAAGCCTGTGGACACCTTCTCAGAATAATGTTTGTTGCCTATGTTTATAATTTTAAAAAGCGCTAAATTTCAGTTAGAGATTAAGTGGAATAAAAATGCAATTTTTTTTTATCCAAATTGATACCTATCCACAGTTCTAATCCCAGGTTAAAAACCTTTGACTTTGAGATTAACCAGCCTCAAAAAATTCAAGAAGCGTTCTTTGATTTTACTCTAACATACCAAAACAGTTACTACTGATTTTTTTTTTCCTGAATGACTTCTCTACTTTTCTTATCTTTTTTTTTCTCATTGCAGCTACCGTTTAGTCATTAATTATTTTGCATCTGAACTAAATGAAATGAAATCTTGTGATTTCTGACTCTGAGGCTCACCCTATCCACTATGTCCTGCTGCCATTTCATTTACTTTATTGTACAAAATTTCTCAGTTTTGAAAGAAAAATCATACAATGAATGGCACAGGTGTCTACAGCTGGCTTATTTGACATGTCAAATATCCTTTCATGGAACTGTCTGAACATTTACTATCAAGTTAAGTTATTATCTCAGAACATTGACTGCACTTTTAAAAAGTATTAGAGGGAAAGACTTTAACTGGCATTATTTCTCTTTACTTCTTCACAGAAGAAACTGTTACTGGGATAAAAAGATTAAGGTTCAGGCAATTAGTACCTTAACCAGCAGTTGTACCTCCTTTCTCATTTTGGCCTTTGTAAAAGAGATGTCTACTTACAGGTTCAGGTGGTAGTGTGGTTCAGTTTGTTGAGTCAAATTTGTTTTTTAAACTTATTGTTTTATAAAAGAAAAACAGCTATGTGTTAGAAATGTTTATATTCTTTGCATAAATTACTTTTATTGCTTTATTTTTTTCCAATTACATGTAAAAACAATTTTTAACATTCATCTTTTAAAAATTTGAGTTCCAAATCCTCTCCTCCTATCTCCTCCCTGAGACAGTAAGCAATTTAATATAAGTTATACAGGTACAATTATGCAAAACATTTCCATGTTAGTCGTGAAAGAAGACAGACCAACACTCCTCCCCCTAACCTCACCACATGGTGAAAAACTAATAGGCTTCAGTCTGTATTCAGATTCCCACAAGTTTGTTCTCTGGGGATGGATAGCATTTTTCATCATAAGTCCTTTGGAATTGTCTTAGGTCATTATTTTTGCTGAGAATAGTTAATTTATTCACAACTGATCATCCTTATATTGCTGTTACTATGTAGAATGTTCTGGTTCTTCTCACTTCACTTTGAATCAGTTCATGTAAATCTTTCCAGGTTTTTATGAAATTATCCTGCTTGTCATTTCTTATGGCACAATAATATTCCATCTCATTCATATACTACAACATGTTCGGCCATTCCCCAGTTGATGGACATCCTCTCAATTTCCACTTCTTTGCCACCACAAAAAGACCTGTTATAAATATTTTTGTACATGTGGATCCTTTTCCCTTTTTTATGATCTCTCTGTGATACAGACCTAGAAGTGGTATTGCTGGATCAAAGGGTATGCACAGTTTTATAGCCTTTTGGGCGTGGGTCCAAATTGCTCTTCAGAATGATTGGATCAGTTCACAACTCCACCAGTGGTGCATTAGTGTCCCAATTTTCCCATATCCCCTCCAACATTTATTATTTTCCTATCCTGTCATATTAGCCAATGTGATAGGTTTGAGGTGGTATTTCAGAGTGGTTTTAATTTGCATTTCTTTAGTCAGTAATGATTTAGAGGATTTTTTCTTATAACTGTAGATAGCTTTGATTTTTTTGTTTGAAAATGGCCTGTTCATGCGCTTTGACCATTTATCAATTAGGGAATGACTTGTATTCTTATAAATTTGATTTCATTCTCTATATATTTAAGAAATGAGGCTTTTATTGGGGAAATTTGCTGTAAAATTTTTTTTCCCAGTTTTTTGCTTTCCTTCTACTTC